TAAAATGTCTTTTGGAGAAAGAAAAGTCCAAAGTGGTAGCGCATGTAACATACCACACGTATATTATATTGTAGTGATATATGTAGTATATTTCTAATGGTACTGTTATTGATAATCTTTCGCAAGCCACGTACTGTATACGTATACTGTATCATTATATGTTTGTAGAATAAATTATCTTGTAATACTTATACACCTTTCAAATCTCCTATTCCTTCCTACGTCTCCATCACTCTCTCCCTAGTATATCCTTAAAAACTAAGTTTTTAAAATGTCTTTTGGAAGAAAAGTCCAAAGTGGTAGCACATGTAACATACCACGCGTATATTATATTGTAGTGATATATGTAGTATATTTCTAATGGTACTGTTATTGATAATCTTTCGCAAGCCACGTACTGTATACGTATACTGTATCATTATATGTTTGTAGAATAAATTATCTTGTAATACTTATACACCTTTCAAATCTCGTATTCCTTCCTACGTCTCCTTCACTCTCTCCCTAGTATATCCTTAAAAACTAAGTTTTTAAAATGTCTTTTGGAAAAAGAAAAGTCCAAAGTGGTAGCGCATGTAACATACCACGCGTATATTATATTGTAGTGATATATGTAGTATATTTCTAATGGTACTGTTATTGATAATCTTTCGCAAGCCACGTACTGTATACGTATACTGTATCATTATATGTTTGTAGAATAAATTATCTTGTAATACTTATACACCTTTCAAATCTCGTATTCCTTCCTACGTCTCCTTCACTCTCTCCCTAGTATATCCTTAAAAACTAAGTTTTTAAAATGTCTTTTGGAAAAAGAAAAGTCCAAAGTGGTAGCGCATGTAACATACCACACGTATATTATATTTAAGTGATATATGTAATATCTTTTTAATGGTGTTGTTATTGTCAATCTTTCGCAAGCCATATACGATGTATATACATCTGTACTTTATATACTTTATTATTATTGCGTTTGTCGAATAAATTATATTTAAACACATATACACGTTTATATTCTTTTACCCTATGTGAATATCCCAGAGTAAGAAAGAGTTCTGTCTCTTTCTTGCACTCCTCCTTCCCCTCCAACCTTATTGTTCTACACCTCTTCTCGGCTATGCTGAATTTTCTCTGCCATCACTTTCATTCCATCTGCAAGTTGTAAAAAGTAAAGGGATTTTTTGAAAGTGCCCTATCGCAGTTTCATCTGTACCAGCCTGATACAGATGATTTTCGAATTACTTTCGGAATTATTTTGTTGGAGAAAGTTCACATATTTTATTCGAAAAAGTTCAGTCGTTCTCTCAGAGATGGCGCCACATATCATGCCCAGGAGGTGCTGCCCTCTTATCGGCGAAAATTCGAACTAATGCGAATTCTTTAATAAGATTTATTCATTGAAATTTCGACGATGGGATGTTTAAATTGAATTCGGAATTATTTTATTCGAAAAAGTTCAGTCGTTCTCTCAGAGATGGCGCCACATATCATGCCCAGGAGGTGCTGCCCTCTTATCGGCGAAAATTCGAACTAATGCGAATTCTTTAATAAGATTTACTCATTGAAATTTCGACGATGGGATGTTTAAATTGAATTCGGAATTATTTTATCGGAGAAAGTTCACTCGTTCTCTCAGAGATGGCGCCACATATCATGCCCAGGAGGTGCTGCCCTCTTATCGGCGAAAATTCGAACTAATGCGAATACTTTAATAAAGGGATTTCGAAGCATAAGGGAGGAGAAGGATGCTGTTAGGACGGAGGAGTGTAAGAATGAGACAGAACTCATTCGTACTCTAGGATATTCGCATAGGGCAAAAGAATTACAACGTGTATATGTGTTTAAAGATAATTTATTGGCAAACGCAATAATGATACAGTATACGAAGTACATATGTACATATATGGTTTGCGAAAGATTAGCAATAACAATACCATTAGAGATATATTAAACATATAGGGAACAAGGGCCGAAGAAGATGCGTAAAGCGTTGCACGAAGACCAGATTATTCTGGAACAGCGAGAAAACAGAACAGTGGGAAAAGTTGGGAAAAAAGTCTGGGTTACCAAAAAGTAAACGAATTTTTTGAAAGTGGCCCTATCGCAATTTGACCTGTACCAGCCTTTTCTATGGACTATTCTGTCTTTCTGCTTTAAGCGATCTTTCAAAATTTCAAGGAAAAAGCCCTAAACCTAGCCGTTTTCGAGATACAGCCTCCCAAAGGTGCAATTTCTAGTATTTTCAAAATTCAAAAAAAGTCTGCGAGTACCAAAAAGTACACGAATTTTTTGAAAGTGGCCCTATCGCAATTTGACCTGTACCAGCCTTTTCTATGGACTATTCTGTCTTTCTGCATTAAGAGATCTTTCAAAATTTCAAGGAAAAAGCGCTAAACCTAGCCGTTTTCGAGATACGGCCTCCGAAAGGTGCAATTTCGAGTATTTTCAAAATTCAAAAAAAGTCTGCGAGTACCAAAAAGTACAGGAATTTTTTGAAAGTGGCCCTATCGCAATTTTGCCTGTACCAGCCTCTTCTATGGACTATTCTGTCTTTCTGCATTAAGAGATCTTTCAAAATTTCAAGGAAAAAGCCCTAAACCTAGCCGTTTTCGAGATACAGCCTCC